GTATGCTTTTGTTCGCAAAGATGCACTCTTGAGGGAAGGGCGGTTGAGCATCCTAACGAAAACGGCTGTGCGTACTTTTCGGGTGACGCTTCAAAATGAAGCTTACGTTAAACAGCTGTTACGAAACTCAGTACCTGAGGCAGCAGAATATAGATAGCTAAGTTCAGCAAGAATTTAGCCGGTTATAAAAAATTAACGAAGACTTTTCCATGGAAAAATGTCCACTGCGAGTGCTTAGAAGCGATTGGTTCAACGTTGCTGAGACGACGAAAAATCCATGGTTTTGTCGTAACCTGTCTTTTGGTGTTTTCAGTTTTTATACCACCCGTTAAGAAGTATCATCTTAACAGGTCACAGAGACCAGAAGTTTTGGGGATGACATTTTACACGACGATTATCTAAGGGATCGTTTGGAGACATGCCAATATGTAACAATCACATTACACCTTATGTCGACGAATTCGCCTTTTCTGTTCAATCTGAATCGTGAGAATGAAAATTTATTAACATGCTCATAACACCGTCTGAAATGTTATCGGTGCTTTCTGGAAAATTATCCTGAGTTTCTTAGACTTCTCTGTAAGTTTAAAATGCATTTGAAATTTTCTTAAATATGTACTGTTCTGCACTCCGAGATTGGTAATCTACTGAGATTAAGGGGACCGTCGGAAGGTTGGAATTACTTTCAAACGCTTTTACTTTAACCCGACCACTGGTTTCACCGGTATTTATATTATTATATTGAGTTGTATTTATGTTTATATTATGTTATATTATACTATATTATATTATATTATATTATATCATTATATATTATATTATTATATTAATTCCTGCATCACAATACTCTGCTACCGGGTGATTTACAAACCGCTTGGGGGCCTCAGTTCATCGCACAGAAAGAGAGACAGAAGCCCAACCTCCAGATGATTGATAGCAGGTATATTCAAGCGGAACATCTTGGTCAGAAAGAGTGAATCTTGGAAATATTGTATCTTCTATGTCTACATTAATGTTCCTAAAATGATTTCGTGCTCCTTAGTATATTTTGTGTTACAACCCTAGTTTGCTGCTGTGTATTTTGAAGCTTCAACTAATGTAATAACTCAGTCACTTCAAAGTTAAGAAAAGCGGGTTCATGGCTCAATCACTTAGGTGGAAGTGTCAATTAAACCACAACTGAAGACTGATGAGACCCTCTTAGTAGTGTGAAACAGCTGTACATAAATAAACAGTGTGAGAAGTCTCGTTTGAAAATGTGCGCATCACTTCTCATGCCATGAAAGTTAGCTGATAAACTCCAAGTTCCCCTTCTAGTGGCGCACTCATCTTAATAACGTACAGGAAAGAGTCAGGCATAAGTATGTTGTTTCTCAGGAAAAAAGTCGTAGGAAAATAGAAGAAATAACAGGGATCTACGGACTCACTGTTCGCAAAATCATCTGTGGCTTTAAAACCAGAAAACTTCCCGTTTTAAATTTGAACNTTGGCGTAGTTGTTTTACATTAAGGCACTTAAGTGTAGTTTCCATAATTGCAACCTGTTCTTTAAAAACAGAAATATATTGCGGTGTTCGGATTTTAGATACTCAAACATTAAACTTCATCAGCTCCCCTCAAAGTGGAACATCGTGAGGCTATCGAATGCCCTGATAAATCAGGTTCAAAAAGATCTTTGGATTAGGAACGGGAGAATAAATGGTCTGTCGCAAGTTTGTGTCTCATGCTCAGTCTACCCGATTATGCTACCCAGTTTGGTCACAGTCATAGCCCCTGGGCTATTTCGAGTGAGATTGCGACCAACTTTGGGTCAACTTGCACCCATTACTGGCAGTTGGACTTCATTCCTAAGCAATGCATGTGATTGTGCCTAAAGCGACTCAAAGGATGCACTCTGAAATTAAATATGAAATAATGCAAAATGGCGTAGTCAAGTATTCCTCGGGGTGAAGGATTAGCAAAGTTCGGAAAGAGCGAAAGTTCATAATCTTTGTGAACCTGGAGCTTTCAAAACCTAATCACCGACTAGATTTAAGATTTATCAGCTTGTCTGCTGGACGCCAATCTATGGCAGGTCAATATTATCTGGTCAAATTTTTCAACTATAAACATCTTTATGGTGGATTCGATAAATAATGTGCAGGCGATAGGCTCTTATTTTACAAACCTACACGACTGTAACGCGCATTTCTCTAATTTGCCTCATGACTTCGTAAAATGTTTCGCTATTTAGAGACTGGGCAAATGCCCGCTGTACCAGTCATTCCACACATATCTTCCGAGTGTGACTTGTTTGGTAGATTTGACATCATCTCCAAAAGCTCCCGACCATGAGTTATTCTAACCTAGGTACTGCACCACCTGAGTATTAGATAATTCCCCATCTGGCTGAGCATTTCAGAAACCTATTTACACATCTGTGATTCAATGTGGATGCATTCATAGTAAGCTCCACTTTGACCAGGCATTGTCCGACTATTTATTCGGAATTACTCAATGACTCTCGTTGTTACACGCATTGACGTGAACTTCAGTACCCTGAGGAGAGTTTTACTGCGTTTGATCCGGTATATTTGGTAGGTCTCTTTATTTTACATTCTCATCAGGCTAATCCAAGCCAAAATCAATAGGTGGTGGATCGAAAGATACTTGTGGCCTATCCAGCGGATCGCAATTCTTTCGTTTGAAAAAATTCGAACACGTAGAACACTAAGTCGGTGACTCATCACGTTGAAATCGGATTGAATGCCACGTATAGGACGTCATCTCGTCCAACTTCGGGGTAAAATAGTCCTCTAAGGATTCTGAGTGTGAACTTAATAAGCGTAGCTGTGCTTTTGGCCTTGACGCTTTTCTCGGAAAAATACTGTCCCATCAATCCACATTCTTAAATTCCACTCCAGGTTAATAAATTCGGACTCTGCGGTCTGATAGAGCTTGACTTGGACTAGTCTCTTCTGGGTCCAAGTTTAAACAGTACATTCAAATGGCTCATTCTTCCCATAAAGTAAAATTTCAAATATTCCGTTCTCCTAGAATCATTCGTCATTTAGCTCCTGGACCGATTCTGTTCCAGGTATCTAAACTTTCTTAATATTCACTAAAGAAACACTAAATTCTTCGATATTAACGTGTAGATTTTAGTTGGTTCACAAAATTTTACATTCAAAACCAGGGTTGAGTCAACCGTGCTATGAACATCTAGCCTGCTAGTTAAGCCTTCGGCTTCATGAATTTCCTAATCGGTCCTCTGACTGTTTTTCTGGTATCCGGTACTCATAGCTCATGGATGTCTCAAGTTCAAACTATAATTTGGCCAGGAAATTGCCTCTTGTTTGGCAGCACAAAATGCTTACTCTAGGCCATGTCCCTAGATCAAATGGACAATTTATTTGTCGCTTACATGTAAGACCCTTGCAGCTGACTAAATTTGAGGAAAGAATCAACTCTTTTAACCCAGTTCACACAAACCCACACGCATTGGTTTCGCCCACCGCCTGAGTTTCCGCAGTTCTAACCGTAGTCAGCTCGAGAAAGATTAATCAGAGACGTACCACCAACACCTCCGTGACCACCACTAAAGAACCAGCAACCGAATAGATAGATGGGTAGGCCGGCTGTAGCCAGTAATTTTCACTAAAAAGTCAACTGGCACACTCAAAGCCCCATGATCACTGAGATTTTTTTGATGACGGACAGGACTTTGGTACTTATGCATCAATGTACAAATAAGTCTGTTACAACGGGTGAATAAAAAGTTGTCAGGTGTAATCCGGGGTTGGATTCGACAGCTGACCGAATGTGCAACATTTGTTTGACAGTAATATCATCTCCAAGAAACTGATGGAGTCCCATTCAGAATTATTCGGCGGCAAAATACTGATAAAACCTTTTAGAATAAACCAAGTAGACCTCTGATTATCCTATCTTTTATGCTGAAAACCATTTTCTATAGTCAGGCCGAATTCTTCACGGAGGAAAACTTCAGAATCACTACGCTTTGTTGGCCTTGATAGTCAAAATAACGATTAGGTTTAAACACCATGAAAATTGGCCAGAATGTATTTTTAAATAAAAGAACCATCTTCACGTTTCCTCATTATGCGGAGTTTGTTGGTGCCGATGATAGAAGTTACTAGTAGATAGCCTGGATTCCTCATTGGTAACTTTATGATAAAATCATGACGGAATGACGTAGTAATTATTCAAGAAATATGCTCAGTTGCAAACTAAATCCGTCTGAGAAAGACTCATCTGAAAGACAGATGAGTGTTTCTTACCTATCAAGTCTAGCATAAGCATGAGTGAAACTTAGAGAATGAGCCTACTGGAAGAATGAGAATGGTCATGGGTTATTAGTGGATTTCCAGCAATTTTAATCACTAGGTTGACTCAAATATTCACGGTTTTTCCATCAGCTGCGGACATTAGGAAGTTTATAGGCATTGGGTCAAGGGAAAATGCCTTCATCACTGCATATCAGATAGCACTTGAGACAACATAGGAATGGCCAGGCAAAAGTTCGAGTGTTGCATAGGATTATCTTTAGTTTCGGTAACCATTTGGGATAAAAATATGTGCGTTTACTTCCCAGTATCTACCCTATGAATGCAACTTTTGGTGTACCAAATTGCCAGATGAATCAACTACCACCCAGTTGACATTGTTTACAAAACTCCAGTTTGTATCACCGTACCACGAGATCATTATTTATGAGCAAGAATGAAATAACACTGGATTCGGAGGAAGCTTGCCATTACACTGTAAGCACATCAGTGACATTATCATTGTAGTTACTAAGTTTAGTAGCGTTCCACTTATAAAGATTTGAAAGCCTTAAACCTGTGGAGTGAAACATGCTTTGAGGTTTATCTCATAGACCTCAAAATTGAGCTTACCACCTCGAATTTTTGAACCGGTTTGCAAAGGTTTACAAGACACTCCGTCGGACGCACGTTTTCTCGGTATACAAAAGGCTAAATATTATATAGGACAACTTACCATACGTTCGAGTGTATATCGTGAACACCCTGTACTTCCAACTTTTTGTTTCAAGATGTATGTACTTTTCGGGGTAATTTTTCTTAAACGGTTTAGTTGACCAATCCCGAATTCAAATGCTATCAGCCAATCAAAACCGTTCAATAAATGGACGACAGTATACGGGGCAATTAACTGACAGTTTTGACAACTTCGGATAGATTATTGCATCTTTCATTAGTCCAACAGACTAATGAGAACTAGTAGGCATAATAGAATCGTCGTCCGTCGATAGCATTTTGCATAACATAATACCACAATAAATAGCTTGGTGGTAGCTGGTGGAAACTACACACAGTGTATTTTTTTATGAGATGATTTGAATAGGCGTTAGAATAGTAAAAAGCAGTCATCCATAATAAATTGGTGTGATCGAATTTCTGGTGTCCCTGTTTTATGGGTGAGCCGTATTCATCATTTGGACGATAGGAACATTTCCATTTCTATAACTCCCTGCTTTGGTAACAATTTTTCTCTTATTGTTTGTTGGCAGCGGTATCGCATAAAAAAGAATTTATTATCGCTTGCCAAGGCTGAGGGAAACAATCTGAATTCAAAAGCAAAATGACTGCCTCTGTTGCACTGATATAACTTAATGTAACCAACAGTAACTCTGTAGTACGTTAAACCGACAGAAACCAAAAGAATTCTGGTGAATTATCTGACGTAATGTTTTTGAGTTGATCAGTAAGAAGACAGAGACAACCCACTATCGGTTTTACACTTTCTAGGACCTATCGGTTGGGCCTCCACTCTGGAAACTGCTTGATTTAATTACTAACCTAAATTGCGTGTTTACATCTTACGTCCTCAGTTCTTGGTTCATCGTGTATACGAACTCAGTTTCATCCAGTCAGTCTATTTAGCTTGGCGCTGCATATGCCGCAGGTCATATATCGGAACATCGGGCTCAGCTATTGTGATCTTGGGACGGGGATGCTCCCTATGGCGTCCAAACGTAGAAATGTCAGCAAAGTCCCTAGGATTGTCTCGTAGATAGAAGGCCCATTGTTTAAGAACTGAGAAATGCCCTCTGTCACCTTTTTATAGATACCAGCAAATACGAAATCCAACCTTGCAACTCAATCCTGATGCTCACTGAAACTGTAGTATACTCCAGGGCAGTAACGAATTTGATGCTTCCAGAATTTTTTCTCCTTGAAATCGGGTAGAATCCATGTTAAACAGGCACGTTGCCAGATCCAAATGGTTCCGGTTATTCCTCTTTATTCCCAGGCTTGCAATACACGTATCGATTGTTTCCTGTGATTGTGGTGTTGAAAAGTTTGAGCTTATTTGGTCATAGTCACAGAAACTACAACTTAGTCAGTTCAGCTAACAACAATGGTCAACAATGGTGGACCAAAGTACTTATTTGACAACAAAAATGACTTTACAACTTTCCATAGTTTTTAGGGAAATAAATTGGGGCCAAGTAACAAAAGTATTCATTTCTCAAGGATGCATCATCTATTATCAAGCATAAAAAAGCAATGACTGAGCTTAATAATAAGGAGTTTACATAACTAAACCACCACCCACCACCTTGTTTTTTGACGTAAATCAATGTCGAAACTGAGAAAAATCTGCGATTCTGTTGGCTTCTGAAGTTTATTATTGACGCGTGATCTGCACTTGCAAAATCCTCGATAGCCTTTCGACTTTCAACAAACTGATAAACAACACTAGTACCTCAGAAATGAATAAGGCTCTGATGGCAGTTCCAGCTGTTTTAGCATTATGTTTAGACTGCAAGTGAATTTTAAAACTATTCCATTTGTTTTCTGCTGTATTTCAATTTTTTTCATGGTAATAATTGGTTTGAACACATTCAAAAAGCACATACATATTTATTCGCCTCTACGCATATATATGGCAATCTAGCCGAACTTTGAGCCAAGGGCTATTCAGCCGCTTAAATCTGTCCACACTTGAACGCACATAGAGCCCCCACAGATTGCTAAACCTTGCTACTGATAAATACCAGTATATCAGCAGGCGACGGCGTAGAATGCTGTTAAAAATTTGCCAATCAGCCTAAGCCATACGGCATAAAATAGGATCTGAAATCTGCCACTCCTGAATATATATATATATACTGTTGGCCTATATAGGTATCTTGACAAGGTTGCTTGATGCACTGTAGATCATGGTCAAATTCGATCACCTAATGAGTGTATTTTAGAGTTGAATATGTCTAAGCCCCCTTCTTCTTTAGGATTTAGCTTCTTTACAGGTCAAATTTGTAGCAATGCAGCAGCAAGATGGTTCAGTGCTTATAGCGCCAATCCACTGACAAAAAGGTCCCTGGTTCGAACCAGACCTATGCTTTCTGACTCCCTCTTTCTGGGCTTGGGCAACGTGATAGTATCCCAGATATCGTTCTCCATTACGGTGGCGCAGCAGTTGGGCACCAAGAGGATGATGTAGCCAGGCAAACCACCCTACCAGATCATTCTGTAGTGAAACAAAGTGGAGGCAAGCAATAACTGAACTTCATAGAAATGCATGCTAAATACTCTTAGCTATTGGTAACACTTTCCAGAATATATTCTATGATAAAATATGCACCTTGTTCCGACAACGAATTTTTACCTGCAATTTGGAAATACAGCATACCAAAGACTTTTTTCATTTGCCTCCTTGGTTAAAAAAATTGTTTCCAAATGATACTTTCAGAACGAATGTTTAATTTACATATGACTCAGATACATGCTAGTTTGTTACGATTTTATTCACTGACCCCAGAATCTTTACATGCTGGCTAATATATCCGGCATTTTAACCAATACTTTGCACCTAACTGTACGCCTAATTCATGGATGAATGAACATCTTCTGTAATATCCCTCAGCGCAGTTCGTCACCAAAGACAGCTCTAACATCCAGTAAGGGAGTTGCCTCGTTGATGCAACTTCTTCCAGAAAACCCTTGAAGCTAAACATGAAAACTCCCACTTCTTATAAAATAAGCGGGGTGACAGAGACGTCCCAACGAGTTATTTTTACAGTGTATAATGATGACGTTCCGGCCCGGCTGTGTGAGTGCAATGAGTGAATTTGTCAAGTGCCCTGCAATTTGGGTTTAAACAGAACATGAGCTTGACGGATACTCAGAAACTGGACGTACCTGATGAGCACGACAAAGGGTGAAACCGGGTGAGCTTTGCCAGAGATTTCATCAAAATGATGGGCGTTAATTTCATGGAATCATACTACAAAATCATACCAAAATGAACAATAAAGCGACTCGGTCGCAGCATTTTTATTTAAATAATATCACAAACGAGTGATTTATTTTCCATTCAACTGAGCCTCGCCAGGAAAACCAAACCGGATTGCCAGCGAAAGTGTCTGACGAAAATTACTTTCCTTATATACAATGATTTCAAATGCTTTCAACCTGATCTCTTTAGACGAAGTAACTTATTAGAACGCATTTTACACTTCCTACTGTCTTGGTACAAACTTGAGCTTTCTATACATTTCAGGTAACGCATCTCTCAACTTGTGTTTTGAAAAAATAATGTTAACTGGTAGAAGGTTCTGTACTTCAAACGAAACAATCTGTACAGCTGATGATGATTTCACAAATTTCCGTGAATTCTGATCTTGCACGCTGCCATTTACCCATGTCTATATATCTCGGACATCCCAGTATGAAATTCTTAGTGATTCAACCTCGGATAATCTGGCTGAGATTTTGGACAATCTATCGAAAGAAATGTTTTGTTGAAAAATCTTCTAACACCCTGCATTTCGGAAAAACACTTCAGTAGCTTTGAAGTGAGGATTTGATTATATCTGTCCGCGGCTAGAAGTGAAGAAGTTTGAGTTCAATTTAAACCCAAAACTTCCTCAAACATTAGATCTTAACAGGGGGAAAACGTTTAGTCCAAACAATTTAAATGTCCTTTTCACCGTTTTTAATAGTTTGAAGGCCTCTAAATTTACACCAGATCCCTGTGGCGACGGTAAAGTAGTAAAATTATTTTATGCCTAAATTCCCCTTGTTAGATTTCATCTTTTGACAGTTATTGATTTCCCCACCATCTGTTCCAAATTTTCTATTTAGACTTGTCCTTGTCGGATGGCAAGTTCCACTTAGTGCCTAATGCGTGCTAGATTAGGAGTGTTTGAGACCAAGTCTAATCATAGGTGAAAGAATGATCACAAAGTTAAAGTTGGATGCAAGTTAGAGAACCAATATTCCCTGACATGCATGGAGAGTTGAAACTGGATACTTGTTCCGAGTGATCGTTAAATTTAGCAGGGCTTGTGAAATACTACATTTGCTGCTACTGTTTAGGAACACAGCATTGGAAAGTAGTTCAGTACACGTTGGCTTATTGAGCTGTGGTGCTTTTTGCCGAACGACATGCGCAACTAATTGAGCATTACTCGAAAATTTACGTATCCCGAACTGTAGTGGAGTGTAGACTGGCTAGAGCAGTACATCGCTTTGAAACACACCATTTCAGTGGTTATCATGTCCTCGAATATCAAATAGTAAATTGTTATTATTATATTATACATAGTTGTCTTATTAAATAATTAATAAATAATTTTACAAATGTCAAGTAATAAATATCGAATGGCTTTTTGTCAGTGCTCCTTTAAATTAATCCTCTAGCATGCTTAAACATCGTTTAATCTAACAAAAACTGTTACTGAAAATTCATCAACCAAATTTATAACATACTGAATTTTCATGATTGTGCAGAGAAGTTTCATTCTAGTTGCAAACGTCCCTCACGCACAAGTTCATTACTTTTGATCATAACTCAACTGATGAACACCAAAAGATGGATCATCAATAAATCACCCTGTATGGTACGGTTTTCTGTTCATCCAAAATTGTATTGTCTTTAAAATTAACAAGCACATTGGTTGAACATTATCCAGTCAGGATTTGACCACTTAAAAGCAGCCAAACTGTTCTGAACTTGTTAACCCGTACTGAAACCAAATATCCTTCTCTGGTCACACATCTTTT